GCCAACTCCGGAGCACACGTCCTAAGCACAATTGGGGGGATTCCGTCAGGCCCACTCGACTTCTGGATGTCCAGGGAGAGAAGTGTTTTGCGAACCGAGCGCTGTGAGAACAGCACATCCGGCATGGAGCACTCACACCGCGGGATGGTCGGCGGTGTTTTCCCCCGTCATCAAGAGTCGAGTTGGACGTAAAAAGGGAGCCTAAAAGGTCAGCTTTGTCTTTTGCGTCTTGGGCCAGTGAGTCGTCCTCCCGGTGCAGAGATGGTAGTGATGGCTTACAGAAATTCCCTTGGACAGCCTTGGCGAGAGACCAGACTGCACGGGTTCCCGAAGGAAGGCGAACTAGTTTCTCGCCAATTCCGCCTATGTGCTCTGACTTTGCCTTGGCAATAACTCTTTTGAAGGACCTGGAGGCGAAGTTATACTTCTTTTTAAGTGTGCTGGTGTTTACATTCCGAGTCGCCGAAGCCGCAGCCCAGGCTTGATAACACTCCTGCTTACTGCGTAATGCAGTCTTACAGGAGCGACCAAACCAAGGCTGAGATCTGCCTCCGATTGGTACCACAGATGATGGAATAAATAGTTCCATTCCCTGTAGCACCACATCAGTGACAGAGTCAGCAACAGCGCTGGGATCATCCGGCGAGAAGCAAACCCGCCCCCATGGGTAGGATGCAAAGAAAGACCGCATTCCGTCCCAATCCGCCGACCTGTAATGCCAAACACGGTGGCAACCTGCAGAACGCAACCGCGAAGCGGGTGTGAGTGGCACCACACTCCGGATCAGACAATGGTCCGAAGAGCCGAGAGGGGCATCGACGGAAACCTGATATCCGTCCGGATGAGAGGTCAGCAGAAGGTCCAACAGGGAAGGTGTATGATCCTCCACATCTGGAATCCGCGTAGGCGAAGTAACCAGTTGTGTCAGACCATATGCCAAGGCAAAGTCATAAACAGATCTCCCCGCATGATCGGTTAAACGTGAACCGAGCCATTCGGCATGGTGGGCGTTAAAATCGCCAAGGATCACGATCTCTGCGGATGGGACCTGTTGTAGCAAGGAATCTGTAGCCATTTGGACGTGGTCGATGAGTCGGTCTGTTTCGGCATTACCGCTATGGGACCTATAGAGGCACCCGTAGACGCGCGGATGGTAGTCGCTGTCTACGCGTAGCCAAAGGATGGACAGGTCCGAACCTTCAAGACTGCAGAGGCGTCGAGAACAGATGTCCTCTCTGACATACACGCAAACTCCAGCCCGGGGCACAAAGGAGTGCTCCAATTTGTACCCCGGGTAGGAGAGATACGAAATATCAGCCGGAGAGGAAATCTGCGTCTCGGTCAGAAAGAGCAAGGCCGGCTTCGCCGTCTCGAGATGGTAGTGGACGGCGTTTAGGTTAGAGTGAAGTCCCCTGATGTTGCAGAAATTCACGGATAGCGTGGCATGGGTCGCCTTGGTGTTGTTGCTCAGTTTGCCCCGAGCAGTTATGTTTTTGAGCGGAATTTTGCCCCCCCCCCCCCCAGAATACGCGGGGTAGCCTGAGCACCCACGCTCAGGATTAGAATAACATGGTCGTGGATGCTCAGCGAGGGATTCTCCAGGGGTACTGGTACCCTTCTGGGGTAGTCTATCGTATAATTCCGCTACCATGTTGATGGGGGGGGGGGGGAATTGGTGATCTTCTGGTCTACCTGACCCATTGATGGGCGGAGGCAGTAGAGTCCAAGGGGGAGGCGTTGGCCGTTAGTCTGGACATTGCGAAGGCCTTCGATCGGGTTTGGCACAAAGCGCTTCTTTCGAAGCTCTCTTCCTATGGGTTTCCCGAGAAATTGTGCAATTGGATCACCAGCTTCGTTGCAGATTGGAGCATCAAGGTCGTTGTAGACGGTGCATGTTCTGACTACAAGCCTATTAACGCTGGTGTTCCACAAGACTGTGCTATCACCAACGCTGTTTCTTCTGCATATCAATGATATGTTGCTTACTGGTAACATTCATTGCTATGCGGATGACAGCACTGGTGATGCTCTATACACCGGCCGTGCCAATATTTCTCGGGAAAACTTCGCCAAGTACCGGAACAAACTTGTGTCTGAAGTCGAGTCTTTGCTGAACAAAGTCTCGGATTGGGGGCGACTAAATCTAGTCCAGTTTTATACTCAGAAGACACAAGTTTGCGCGTTTACCGCTAAAAAGAACCCCTTTGTCGTATCTCCTCAGTTTCAAGGCACTCCCCTTCTTGCCTCAGCCAGTATCGGTATCCTCGGAGTCGACATATCGAGTGACGTGCAATTTCGTGGTCACTTGGAAGAGAAGGCCAAATTGGCCTCTAAAAAGCTTGGCGTGCTCAGCAGAGCGGGACAGTATTTCATGCCGGCACACCGCCTGCAACTTTACAAGGCGCAGGTTCGGCCTCACATGGAATACTGTTCCCACCTCTGGGCAGGGGCTCCCCAGTGTCAGTTTCTTCCACTTGACCGCATCCAGCGCAGAGCGGCTCGAATCCTCGACGACCGAGCCCTTTCCGATCGGCTCGATTCATTGGCACTGCGAAGAGATGTTGCATCCCTTTGCATTTTCTTTCGCATCTACCATGGGGAGTGCTCTGAGGAATTGTTCGGATTAATCCCAGCCGCCAAATTTCACGAACGCACATCGCGGCAGAACTCCCGATACCATCCACACCATCTGGATGATTGGCGGTCCACCACTGTACGATTTAGAAGATGTTTTTTTCCTCGCACGACTTCCTTGGGGAATCGATTACCATCAGCGATTTTTCCGGACCGATACGACTTAGGGACCTTCAAGAAAAGAGCGTACTCCTTTTTAAAAGGCTGGCAACGCATCTGCAATTCCCTCCCTGGTATTGCAGTTGTTCATGGGCGGCGGTGGTCACTTACCATCAGGTGAGCCGCATGCTCGTTTGCCCCCTCTCTAATAAAAAAATAAATAAATAAATAACCACAATTTAAGAGGAAGACCTGAATGTGTATACAATGTTGATGAAACGGGGATGCCGCTTAGTAACCGCCCACCCAACATTATAGCCCAAAAAGGTGCTAAAGATGTTGTCAGTATGACCAGTGTTGAACGAGGTGAAAATGTAACCGTTCTAGCCTGTACGAATGCAGCTGGACAGTACATACCTCCATTTGTTCTATTCAAAGGTGTGAGTAAGCGTGACGATTTTCTCCTAGGTATGCCACCTGGTACTGAAGTTGTCATGACAGAAAAGGGCTGGGTCACTCAAGAAGCTTTTAAGTTGTGGCTGCACAACATTTCAATAGCTACCAGACCCCAGGAACAGTAGTTCTAATTTTGGATGGGCACGCGTCTCACACCAGCTACTCAATGGGTAGACTTATGTGACTCTTTCGAAATTGAACTTGTACTTCTCCCTCCACACACATCACATGGCCTGCAACCGCTCGATGTATCGGTTTTCAAACCGCTCAAAACCTATTATCACCAACAAGCTACAGCATGGCAACATTCACATCCAAGTCAAGGAATCTCAAAAGTCGCTTTCGGAGCACTTTTGCAACGGGCTTGGAATCAGGCTGCCACTGTTGGGAATGCTACAAAAGGTTTCGAAAAGACTGGAATATTTCCACTAAACGCCAATGCAATACCTGACCAGAAGTTCATCGGTGATCAAGAGTCGGACATTGTAGAGTCCCAAGTCCAGTCCCCAAGTTCTCAACAAATGCAGCTACAAGTGCAAGCCACAAATACAGAACTAGTAGCTGATACAGTGTCATCTGCAAGGTCACGACAGTCTGACAAAGCCAAGTCTGCCACCTGTGCAGATGACGAAAGAAAGAAGATAAAGAATAAAGCAACGCCTGGGATAAAATTAAGAGTTCATCAGCAAAAGAGAGAGAGTGTCAAGTACCCCAAGTCCAATCGATGAGTTCCCAACAGGTGCAGCCACAAGACCAATCCTCAAGTGCAGAACAAGTGCAGTCAAAAATAAAGGTATAAGTCCAAGCCACAAATACAAAACCACTTGATAATATAGTGCCATCGACAAGTTCGTTACAATCTGACGAAGCCCAGCCTCCCACCTGTGCAGAAATAATTAAAGAAATTCTTCCATCACCTTTAAAGTCACCAATTGCTTTTAAAAGGATTCGTAGTTTCAAAACTGGTCTTGCATTTAACATCACCTCAGAGTAAGACTACTCTTCTCGAAAAAGAAACAAAGAAGAAATTTAAGGTAGACAATAAAACCAAGGAAAACAAGGAAAAGGCTGTGGGCAAAGAAAATATGCGATAAAAATTAAGAGTTCATCTGAGAAACAGAGAGAGTGGCACTGCATTTACTGTTCCGAAATATTTGTTCATCCACCATCATTGGATTCAGTGCAATACCTGCGAAGAATGGTGCCACGAAAAATGTGCTGATATGGGGGGGGCGGGAATAGGACCATATATATGTGAATTATGCGCTGATAATTAAAATTGATCTCTGTATTAATTTTTTACTGATTCCAAAGCTTAAATAAGAGAATATGTGTAAGATTTAAGTTTTCAAATATTTATTTCATAGCTGATTGTTACTTCTTACGTTTTTATGAATAAAAACAACGTTATATGATACTTTAGTATGATTTCCTCAACCTCAAGGAAAAAGTGATCCGATTCGCCTCGGTCTACCCTACTGGATATGTTTCATTGCTAGTCACAGATTACAGGGGTTTATGTGATGTATAGTCCGCCGCCCTGCTCCAATACGTGATGTGGGACTTTTTATGTTTTGAAATGATTTACTTCTTAGACACGCAGGTTTTTCAAGATGTTTTCCTACATGGGCATGTGATAAATTAGCATTTGAAATTGCTATTAATAATTTCTGGGAATAGCTGGGAGCAACTGACTATACAAAACAGTTGGGCTGTTATTTTACGCTAATATTTCGTCAGAGTGTGGACATCGGTCTAGCTGACCTCTTAGTGCTACAAGCTTGATATAGAGTATGGGTGTGTTGTCGCAGGCTGAGCGCGTGCTGCGGCGCGCGTGGCGCGCGGGCGAGGCGGCGTGGCGCGCGCGGGGCGCGGGTGCGGGGGCGGGGGCGGGGCTGGGGGCGGGGGCGGCGGGCGCTGCGCGGCGCCACGCGTGCGTGCTGGCGCACGTGAAGCGGCGCCTGGCGATGTGCGCGCGGCGGCTGGGCCGGCTGCGCGACGCGGCGCGCATGTTCCGCGAGCTGGCGCGCGACGCGCCGCCCGCGCTGCACGCGCTGCACACGCACGAGAACCTCATCGAGGTGCTGCTCGAGCAGCGCGCCTACGCCGACGTGCAGGTGTGCAGGTGCCTCCCGCAGCGCGTGTACAGCGTGTACACACACTCGCACGTGCAGCGGCGCCTGGCGATGTGCGCGCGGCGGCTGGGCCGGCTGCGCGACGCGGCGCGCATGTTCCGCGAGCTGGCGCGCGACGCGCCGCCCGCGCTGCACGCGCTGCACACGCACGAGAACCTCATCGAGGTGCTGCTCGAGCAGCGCGCCTACGCCGACGTGCAGGTGTGCAGGTGCCTCCCGCAGCGCGTGTACAGCGTGTACACACACTCGCACGTGCAGCGGCGCCTGGCGATGTGCGCGCGGCGGCTGGGCCGGCTGCGCGACGCGGCGCGCATGTTCCGCGAGCTGGCGCGCGACGCGCCGCCCGCGCTGCACGCGCTGCACACGCACGAGAACCTCATCGAGGTGCTGCTCGAGCAGCGCGCCTACGCCGACGTGCAGGTGTGCAGGTGCCTCCCGCAGCGCGTGTACAGCGTGTACACACACTCGCACGTGCAGCGGCGCCTGGCGATGTGCGCGCGGCGGCTGGGCCGGCTGCGCGACGCGGCGCGCATGTTCCGCGAGCTGGCGCGCGACGCGCCGCCCGCGCTGCACGCGCTGCACACGCACGAGAACCTCATCGAGGTGCTGCTCGAGCAGCGCGCCTACGCCGACGTGCAGGTGTGCAGGTGCCTCCCGCAGGGCGTGTACAGCGTGTACACACATTCGCACGTGAACGAAACAAATTAAGTTATTCTTTTTTCTTTATTAATAGTGCAGCTCAAGAAATGTCAGTCATTCTTCTGTCTTTTTGCTTACATTTTTTAACTGCACATGTTAGCTTCTGAAATTAAGAAAAAGATAACATTAGTACGTAAAGTAGAATAATAAAACAAAATCTCATTACTTTTAATTTTTTCCGTTATTGTTTTATCAGCACTCGGAATTTTCTTACATTGCCAGAAGTTAAACCATAAATTAATAAGTACACACACCTTGTTATTTATGTGTACTAATGTTGTCTTTTTTTAACTTCAAAAGCTAAAAAGTGCAGTTAATTTGAATTTCTTGACTAACTAGATATTATAAGATAAATTTACCAAACTTTTATCAAAATTTTTTCGTTTTCTTTTATTTACTAAAAATAGCTTAGGTTTATTTCACAAGATGTCTGAATCATAATTTGTTGTCATTCTAAATTAAATATTGTCGGTCATCAAAAATAATATACTTAAAAATACTTTACTTACTAAAGGACTAAGACTTGTCAATAATACTATAATTGTGCACTATCGTATGCATGGCAAACGGCAGGCAGAGTGCCTGGGACAAATTGTCCGACTAGGTAATTTCAACTTTGACAGAAACACATCTCGTCAGGTATATCTCAAAACTTGAAAACGAGATTGTACAACCAGTGCCTGTTGCCTGTGATGACTTATGGATGTGAAACGTGGTCTTTCACGGTTGGCCGTATGAGGAAGCTCAAGGTCGCTCAGCGAGCTATGGAAAGGGTTATGCTCAGACTTTCTCTGCGTGATAGACTTAGAAATAAGGATATTCGCAGTAGAACCAGAGTAACTGACATAGCCCAACGGATTAGTCGAAGAACCGAAATCCGATGGGGAAGGAAGGTTTTCGAATGGCAGCTTCGTACTGGTAGGCAAAGTGTGGGGTGGTCCCAGGTGGCTCAGGACCGTGCCTTGTAGTATTCTTTGGGGGAGACCTATATTCAGCAGTAGACTTGTGAAGGGTTGTAATGACGATGATGATGCTTTATTTTGTAATGTCGAAAGGTGTTGAATGAAGGAGAAGTGTTGTTGATACTAAGTCTTTAATTATACTGCTCTCTTATTCTACACTTAATACTAATATCATAATATACTGGGTGGCGCTTAGGTTATCACGTTAAATAGCACAGCAGTTAATACAAGTTGATATATGTCTGTTAAAATAATAAAAACAAATAAAAATGTATCTTTCAAATAAAATAAATAGCGTAAAAAATTAAACGAAATAATTCAGCCTTGATAATATTAGTTTACTGACCTGAAGTGACTTGTAAAAGCGGCAACGGCGCGGCTAGCGGTTCAGTGTTCACGCGACATCGACATAGGTAATTATAATACCTACACTTGCCCATACATAGGTAATTAGGCACGCGTAGGGCGATGCTAATCCGATGTTATCAACAAATCAATAATATTTTTTTTTTTTTTTTTTTTTATAGGATAAGGGTGACAAACGAGCACACAGTCCACCTGATGGTAAGTGGTTGCTGCGGCCCATAGACATCTACATCTATCCTCTATTACAAATCAAAATGTAGATGCGTTGTCACCCGTGAGGAGTAAGATGGAATGCCTCATTTCTAGTGAAAAGGGCCTCCGGCCACCTGCACTCACCAAGCGAAACGCAGAAGTAGACCTCTACTTCACGCTGGTATTCTGTGAGGTCGTGGTACCACCCCGGTTCGAGCCGGCCCATCCGTGCGACAGCAAAAGCTGCCGCGTGGCTCTACCACTGTTTGAATCATTCAAGTTTATTAACAAATCAAATTTTTAAATTTTCAAAATGTCAGCCGTGTACTCGAATGCATAATTGACATCGTCGCATGATACTATTTCGGACTTTTCGCAAGTAGGTCACCATTAGCTGCAATTTTTTTTATTTTGTCGAAAGCCGTCGAAAGAAAGTTGTTACTTCAGTAGAGTACATCTAATTTTTTATGTAACCCCATAAAAAGAAATCTAACGGTGTTAGATCCGGAGACCGTGGTGGCCATCACGTGAGGAGCATCAAGGAGAAGGTCCGTATCGGCCAATCCATTTCTCTCGGAACATCTCAGTCAGGCGCTGCCTTGCAGCCACCACTGAATGAGCAGGTGCTCCATCAAGCTGATACCATAACCGGCTATTGGCCCCCAACGATAGTCCATTAACGTAATCCGCCACTGGGCCGTCAAACAGTTCCAATTTAGGCCCATTAAGGTTGCCTTCGATAAACACGGGACCAATTATTTGATCTCCGTGTATTCCAGCCCAAATATTAACGGCAAATCTATATTGGTGCAAAGACTCGACACAGTTGCGGATTTTCTTGACTCCAGTATCGTAAGTTCTGTCGATTCTATCATGTGTGTGTCAGTCCACATTACGTTTGCTAAAAAGTTTACCTACTTTGCATAGGAGCCATTCGCAGTAGGCTTCCCTGACTGGCTTATCTCTATCTAATAAAGTCTGTACCTTTACGTATTTGAACGGCCGTTGCTTGTTTTATTTTAATATTCTGTGAACAGACTTGTGGTGTACACAGGTTTGGCGAGCTGCTCCACGGAGACTTGACATCGGATTACGAGCGAAATAATTTAATATTTGTTCTTCCTGAGCCACGGTGACTTGCGGAGGAATTTCAACCTGACGCGGGATCAAATGTTCGCCGTCACGTAATCTTTGGACTACCCGTATAAAAATCAGTGAGTCTGTAGGACATACACGTGTGATATTATACTACCCACCTGACACCCCTTACCAATTCTTGTCACATCACGCATAGATAATTATGTCTTAAGTCGTCTATTTTGAGTAAATTTTTCCCTTGAATTTGTTTTCACACACCCGCAGCGCGCGGTCTCATTGTTTTTAATTTCGCGCATAAGAATTATGCCTTATATTGTTAGCCATAAATACATTTTTGCTTAATTTATAACTTTATTTGAATAACTCGAATTGGCAACGTTTGAACTAGGTATCTTCGTCTTCACGGGCCTTGGGTCTTTGAACTTCTAGTATTCATCAGGTGATATCTGATGCCTTTACAGTTGTTTAATATTAAAACGAAAAAAAAGCTACCGCGACTAGAATGTTAATTGTTATATATTTTTTTAGTTGTGTATGTTTAAAGAACTTTGTGTAGGAAAAAGACGTATTTTCATTTAACGTGATAACTTCATAGTCACTTTATATATTGGCGGGTGGCTACAGGGCACTACACTTGTCATAAATGGAAATTAGAATTTGTTGTACGTGGTGTGTCGGTCGGTGCGTAGGCGGTGGTGGCGCGGTACGAGGAGTGTGCGTCGACGCGGTCGGCCTGCAGCGTCTACACCACCGCGCTGCTGCGCGCGCGAGCTGCTGCTGTCGCCGTGCCGCCCGCCAAGCAGCACTTCGAGCTCGCCGCGCTGGAGGTAGCGTACACTGCTCACACTGCACGCTTCACACACACCGCACACTGCACACTACGCACACTGCACACTCCGCAGACACCGCACACTGCACTCTCCGCACACACCGCGCACTGCACACTCCGCAGACACCGCACACTGCACACTCCGCAGACACCGCACACTGCTCACTCCGTAAACACCGCACACTCCGCACACACCGCACACTGCACACTCCGCACACACGGCACACTGCACACTCCGCACACTGCACACTCCGCACACATCGCACATTGCACACTCCGCACACACCGCACACTGCACACTCCGAACACACTGCACACACACCGCACACCGTGCTGCTGCGTGCACTAGATATTTACAATATTTTTGCGTGGATATATTATGTACTTGTCTATACCGAGTATTAGTGAAACGCTCACGAAAACGAAGACTAACGTTTGATGATCAAATTCAGTCCCGTAAATTACAACGACTTGTATCCTCTTCATCCCGTAATCGTAATAACGACATACATACAGAATATCACCAATTTTATCCCCGAGTTAAAAATCTTTCCGATGTCCAGTTTCCAACAGATGAGTTGTCATATGATATTGTACATAAAGGCCTAAAGTATAATTTAACACCTTCGGTCTCCCAAAAATTGTTAGAGACTATGGCTGTTGACGCGGAGATGGCTGTTGTGATCGGGAAGAAAGATAACATCGTTAAAAGTTTGGTAGCTAATGAAATTCGGGCTGTGCCCGCGTCTTCCCATTTCAATCCTGAGTTCCCTGTTTTTAAGTCCCTAAAGCAGAGAATAAGGGAAAACGACCTTATTGTTACTAAAGCCGATAAAGGCAATACTGTTGTTATTATGGAGAGTAGTGGGTACAGCCAGAAAGTTAACGATGTTATCCAAGGTGATGACTTTGAGCTATTGGAGTCTGACCCAACCAAAAAAGTTTACTTCGGATATTAAGTTATGTATACAACAGTCATCATATGTTTTTCCCGATCACAACTTGTCTCGGAGCAATCTTGTTCCAGTGAATCCTCAAGCACCCATTTTATATGGGTTACCAAAAATACATAAAGAACATGTTCCTATTCGTCCAGTTGTCTCATATATTGGTGCACCAGCTTATTTCCTTGCTAAAAAATTAAACTTCCTCCTTCGAGAGAAATCTGGTTTCAACCCCACTTACAGCCTAAAAATGGCTTAGATCTCATTGCCAAAATTAAAGATATTCGTATTCATCCTAAATCCATATTGTTATCTTTAGACGTTGATAGTCTTTTCACAAATGTCCCATCCCCTGACTGTTTGCGTATACTCGCAGATCTCTTTGAAAAACATCGTCTACATCCCGGGGAAACAAATGATCTTCTTAACTTAACCTCTCTCTGTATGAAACAAAACTATTTCCGGTTTAATAACCGTTTCTATCTACAAAAAGAAGGGTTAGCTATGGGGTCCCCTCTAAGTCCCCTTATGGCGGACATTTTCATGGATAATTTCGAAAAACAACATATAGTTGTCAATCAAAATATCTTATATTACTATCGATATGTAGACGACATAATTATTTGCTGGACCGGCACAAGGAGACAACTGGATGTTTTCCTCAATAAAATAAATAGAGTCCATGACAAAATTAAATTTAAACTGGAATTGGAACAAGATTGTTCCCTTAATTTTCTCGACTTTACAATAACAAGAAAAGAATCGTCACATGTTTTCCAAATTTATCGAAAGCCAACTCACACCGACACGGTCATCCCCGCGTCATCATGTCATACGTGGCAACATAAAGTAGCCGCTTTTTATTGTTACATTAACCGTTTGTTCACTGTCCCATTAAGTAAAGAAAATTATTTAAAAGAACTTAATATAATTTATCAAATAGCGGTCTCTAACGGTTTTTCAAAAAATCTCATTAACAATTTAATTAAAAAGAAACAAAAGCATGTTGTTCGCAACTCTCTGTACGCGGTTCAACCTCAAAATGTTCATCGATATGTGAGCAGTTTGACCTACTTAGGCCCCATATCTCAAAAAGTAGCTAATACTCTTCGACAAAACGGCGTTCATGTGGCGTTCAAAACAAACAATTCTCTTAGAAATATCTGTAATAATAAAGATAAGTTGGATATTCGTCAAATGTGTGTATAAACATGTTGTATTCGTGTAGTTCTTGTTTACATAGTAATTCGTGTTTATAAACTTGTTTGTGACGAATGCCACGCCGTTTACGTGGGTCAGACTGGTCGCAATTTCGAGACACGTTATAAAGAGCATTTAGCCGCGTACAGGAATTGCAATCCCGATAAATCCCATTTTGCCAAACATCTTTTGGACACTGGACACAACCTAGCCAATGACCACTCCTTTAAAGTCTTACATACGTGTAATAAAGGGCTGCGGCTGTGTGTGCTGGAACAGTTAGAGATATTAAAAAGTAATAATAATACCGTTGCATTGCTGAATGAACAAACAAATGTTACTAACTCACCTCTCTTAAATATCTTTAAGCCTGCTCTCTAATAATAGAGAGCCTCGCAATATGGTCGTTTGTCACCCTCACGGTGATCGGCGATTGGTTGCGTGGTTAGAGGGTGGGCGTTGCGCGGCGGTTTGTTTTTAATTTTACAAACGGCTGCGTAAGTCCAGCGGTGATTGGTCGCATGTTTTATCGCATGACGCAGTCGCTCGCTCCTTAAGTAGAGAGCGGTTGCGTCATCGGTCTGTATAAAAGGCACTTGTTTTGGCTCGCCGCTCACTTAGCGGTTAGCCACCGTAGAGTCTATATCACCTGAGGATGCCTCGTGTAGAGGCAAAACAGGTCGTATTATCGTCAGTGGTGTGTCTTGCCTAGTTTAGTGGTGTTGGGAGTAGCGGTGCTGGGATTAGTGGTGACGGGGATAGTGCACGCAATTGAGGGAGGGCGGGAGGTGCTCTTCATACTAGGTAAGACACATCATTTTATTTTATAACGCGGATATTTGCGAAGTAAATTTTTCTAAAAGCTTTTATATTATGGATTTCCGCAAAGTAACGCCTGATTCTATTAATTACGTTACGACATTGCCAACGTTTATTTTATTTATAAGTTTAGCTATCCCTACGACTAGTTTTCATATGGAATTTGGAAGTTATAGTTGTCATTTTTAATACAATTACACAATCAGTTGTACCCTGATGCAACAAGCAGTTCTTTACTACAAAAATTATATTGAAATTGTTGAATCAAAAATCATAGTGTCATTTATTGTTTGTCAAAATGTTTTCACCAGCCGTCACTAGATGGAGCTAGTAGTAACGTACAGCGCGCTAGCATAGTGTTATTGTAATTTAACATACGGTTCACTCACACGAACAAATTTGATTTTCTGACTATCGTACTTCCGTGTTTTAATTTCCCGAACGCGAGTGCAAGTATCGAGATCTGGTAAGAACCTGTTCATAGTCATTCGAATTCGGATCTAAGTGAACCATCCGTTCCTCCGTGCATCCAAGTTGGTTAAGTGTGGTGTAGTGTCAGAAGCAAGCACGAAGTCTGCAGCCACCAATCGAGGATCAACAGCGACGGAGGAAGGCAGAGATATCCAAAGCAGTCGGCAACAGGATGTGATGTCATCATAACATCTCATTCAATCGCATCGTGACAGCATTGTAGTGACGTAATCGGTTATATCACTAACTACGACCAGTGACGTCACAAATCGAAGACAACAGCGAAGGTAATCGACTGCGGAACTAAAGTGGAATTAATGGTTTGGAGATAAAACTGTGAGTACAATTTTGTGTTCTAACATCAGTGCAACAAGTTGAAAATTTAAAACCCATTTAATAGAGAATTTAGCTTTATTTATTTTTAAGATTTTAACTTGCATAGTAATAAAACTGAACTTGTAAAATTTGCATATAGTATATTAACTGGTAAAAAATAAATGGTATATTAACTTAGAATAGTTTTGATATAAGTGAACGAACGGGGAGCCTATGCCCGATTCGCCCGTAAATACTAAGTGTCAAACACTTGTAAAAATTTTGAATTTTATTTCCCATTTGTCGTTTTTTATTTTGTTTAAATTTAACTAATCTATTTAATGGCATCTTTAATTAAGAAACAGCTTGGTTGCATGAAAACATAATGTATCTCTCAAGTAATATATATTAAATTAGATTGTTTAGTGCGATTGCCAAGTCAATTTATTTATGTAAAACATAAAAGATTTTTGATATTGATATGCTCACCATAAGATGTTGTTAGGTTAGCTAATTACGTAATAACTTAAGACAGAAGGACCCTTAAGTAGGGACTGAATAAATAAACCGACTTGATATTACATGGATCTCGCAACTTTTTATGGTAGAAGAACTGAGTTGTAAGACTTGGTTATTTTACAAGTTATGTTTTTGATGGCATCTCATTTCTTTTTGTAGATAGTTATATCTAGGTACCTATCTACACATATTATTCCATTATATTATACATATATAGGTATAGTAATTCATTCACTGCAAATGTAACTTTGTAATCTTATATGTTTATATGGGATTACAAAGTTATTTATGCAGTTGGGGTGTCTCGAAACTGGACCGAAATTGCAAAGTATATTAGTTTTTCCTTGATTTATATACTAAATAATAATTGTATTCTAAATTTGAAGCTTCTATGTTTGCTAGAAGTGCCTTAACATTTTGATGATCGGTCAGTGAGTGAGTGACAAAATTAAGAAACTTTGACTAGTTATAATTCTTAAACTACTGGCTCGAATTTAATGAAATTTGAAATAAGAGTATAACGAGTTTGTACAATGCCTACTTGGTTATTGAAAATTCAGGCTTCTAGTTTTATCCACAACGAAGTTATAGGGTTTCAAAAATGGTCTGGACTGCTTCGAGAAAAGGATGGTACGGTCGTGCCGCTTTTTTGCTCGACTTGGCGGGGGCACTACCGTGCCTCCAGACCTTGGATATTTCGATTTGGATATTTTTTATATTTATGTATCCAATGTGTACCTGGAGATGACTATAATAGACGTGACTTTGTTTATTTACCTCATCATGCAGTGATACTCGAAGATTAATCAACAACAAAGGTCAGGGTCGTGTTCGACGCTTCCTGCAAAGGAACAAATGGAGTGTCGCTTAATGATACCTTAATGGTCGGACCAACTCTTCAACAAGACTTACGTCACATTGTCATGAGGTGGCATATGCACCCCATGTGCCTGAGCGTAGATGTTGTTAAAATGTATCGCCAGGTACGCGTTGCCAAGCAAGATGCAGAATACCAGAGACTCGTTTGGAGAGACGATCCAAGGTCTGAAATCAAAGAATATGTATTAGATAGAGTTACTGCTGCAGCTCGTAGTAGATGACGGCACGCAGTATCTTGATGTAGCTGAAAAAATAATCAAACAGATTATTACATTGATAATTTAATGACGGTATGTCAGACAGTAGAAGAAGGAAAACGTATGAAGACGTTGTTGAGTAGAGGAGGTTTTGAGTTGCAAAAATGGATAACCAGCAATAAGGAGTTAGCAGCAATAGTGATGGATAAAAAGGTAATTTAGGAGAAAAAGAGAGACATACGAATGTACGACATAGTAAAGGTGTTAGGAATTTCGTGGGACAAGGAATCTGATTCTTTCAAGTACTGCAAATACCTAAAATTCAGGAACCTATTACAAAAAGGAAAGTGGTCTCAAACATCTCACGCTTATTCGACCGCTCGCTTGCCCAACCTAAGGGGCAGCACCTTGGGTTATTACAGCCAAGGTCCTGATTCAAAAGTTGTGACTAGCCGGTATAGGATGGGACGAGGAACTACCAGAAGAATTACTAGACGAATGGAATACTTACCAGGCGGAGTTGATTCACCAACATTCGAGTATCTAAGGGACGTGGAAACTAATCGTACGAGGGCTACATATGCCTCTTTATCTGCATGCTTACAAAGGCTATTTATTTAGAGATTATCAGCGATCTCACAGTCGAGAGCTTCATAGCTGCGTTTAAGAGGCTTGTTGCTCAACGAGGAGGTCACGTGAGTGAAATTTGGAGTGGCAATGGGACAAATTTCGTCGGAGCCTCGAAAGAACTTTGTAAGTTTGTCACCGCTGAACAGTCGTCCGTCGCCGTGGAAATCAAAGAGTGGCCAAGTAACCAGAGTACTAAATGGCATTTTATCCCCTCATATGCACATAATTTCGGAGGTTTATGGGAAGCCGGATTAAAATAAAAAAAATCACTTAAAACGAGTTGTAGGCAATTCCACTCTCACTTTTGAAGAGTTAGCAACAGTTTTATGTCAAATAGAGGCATGCCTTAATTCAAGGCCTTTATCGATACTCTCTTCTGATCACAGGGACTCTGCACCCTTAACACCTGCACATTTCTTAGTTGGTGAGCCCTTAGTTGTAGTACCGGAACGTAATTATGAGCATAGTAACGTTAGTACATTGAGAAGGTGGCCATTGACTGAAATGAGTGAATTGAATGGTGCAAGATTTTTGGCGAAGATAGCCGTCGGAGTACCTTGTGCATTGCCTTCAAAGATACAAATGGTCCCGGAACCTAACATTGGGGACGTTGTACTAGTGAAGGAAGATAATCTTCCACCAGCGCGATGGTTATTGGGCAGGTTGATTGCCAAGCATCCCGGCTTGGACAATGTTACTCGAGTTGTCACACTTAAATGCAATGGGTCTCAAATTAAGAGACCAACGTCTAAAATTTGTGTTTTACCAGTAACAAACTGATACTGTCTGTCTGTAAGTATTGTATATTTTGATTGACCCTATTATTCTTACCCTATTACTTTTTATATACTTTTTTATTTTTTTTATTTTACTTACTTTACCTCTTATCCTATATTTTGATTATTGTAAGTACCCCCTTGACCTCACGGTGGGCGGTAATAGAAAGAACGCAGATACGTTTTTGGTGGGCGGAATGTTGAACCAAATATCATAGTGTCATTTTGTCTTCATTTTTGTCAAAATGTTTTCACCCACCGTTACTAGATAGCGCTAGTAGTAAACTACAGCGCGCTAGCATAGTGTTATTGTAATTTAACATAGGGCCCACTTTAATTTAATAAATTTGATTTTCTCACTATTGTACTTCCGTGTTTATAATTACCCAAACGCGAGTGCAAGTATTGAGATCTGGTAAGAACCTGTTCAGAAATTAATAAACATACCTACGTAATTGGGTACTCAGTACTCACACAATTATTGACACTATTTCATTGTTATCTTTGATTTTGTATAAGAAAATAGAAATGAAATGGTACTGAATAATTTATTAGTTAAAAACAGTTGCAATTTTATGATCGATAGTTAAATCTATCAGAATTAATGTAAAAATAATACTTTTACTTTATTTTAAATGACTTTCCGTTTTTAATCCGACCAATACTTTGAATTTAAAAAGAGGTACGTCAAAATTATTAAAAATTACTTGCAAGTTTTATAGTATTTGCCCCCTCTAATTCTTATGTTGACGGCAAACTAAATTTCAGTGCAATATGGCAGCGTTGCCAACACCAATATGTCAAATTCCCTGAAAATTTATATCCAATTCCCCAATTTAAGGACAAAACTTCAACAGATTCCCCACAAATTCCCCTCAATTTTATTTTAAGAAATGAATCAATTTTCAACTAATTTTATAACATGTACTTTTTAACTAACATTTTATTTCATTAAAATTAAAAATATAAAGAAATGAAAAGCATTAAATGATACACAAAAATTGCCGAAATAAATCCGAAAATTAAATATGGTGCAATGAATATAATTAAAAAAAGGGAGTCATTCGATATTCAAAAGTAACTCAATAAAATGTTAAAGATAGGTATTTAGATTTCTTGAAAGAAGGTTCTTACTTGGCCCTGGCTATCGATTTTCAAAATCCCCGTATTTGCCCCACGTAATAACTATCCCCATAAAATCCGCAAATAACTTTAAATTCCCCAAAATTTTGGGAATTCCCCACATGTTGGCAAAGCTGACATGTGTAAATTCCACAGCGCGAGGCGACACGAGCCGGCTTGGCGGCGGTAGTGCGTGTGTGAAAGGGAAGGGTAGAGTGAGTAGACATTGTTTCCCACCGAGATAGATAAGAGTTCGGCGTCCGCGCGTACATTGACTCCTAGTCAGCTGATTGTAATTCCACTTCTGGTTTTATGTTTAAGTATTTTCATGATTTTTTTATGAAATTATCGTTTCATTTAGCTGTAGTAACATAATGGAGCGTGAATAAAGTTAATAAAACGTTGTGAAAAGATTATTTTTTTTCCCTCGGGATTGAATTTCTTTGTGACCGGTCATCAAAGGTATCGTTAGTACTATCGTCTGTGTTCGTTTTCGGGAGCGTTTCACTTACACCCTTTATATATTCGTGTGTTTATGAACGTGATCGTATGTGTGTGCAAGCGTGTTTGAGTACATACGTACGTGCGCGTATATAGATGCATGTTGAGGTATTGCACAGGCGATGCGGCGCGCCGTGGAGTTCAACCCGCACGTGCCGGCGTACCTGCTGGAGCTGCGCGCGCTGGCGCTGCCGCCCGAGCACGTGGTGCGGCGCGGCGACAGCGAGGCGCTCGCCTACGCCTTCTGCCACCTGCAGCACTGGCGCCACGTGGACGGCGCGCTGCGGCTGCTGGCGCTCGCCGTGCAGGTACCGCGCACACTGCACACTTCAGTGAATTTTAATCGTTACATCGTTACCAAATTAGTTGTTCTTCTTCTTTAATTAGTCAATTTTCAAATTGAAAAATGACATTGGTGTATTTATTAGCATATTGCAATGTACCTGTATAGTTGGAGTGATTGGTGAGTGTTGTGTGGCGCAGAGCGGAGAGCGCGGGCGGCGGGGCTTGCGGGCGGGGCGCGCGGCGCGGTGCGCGGCGTGCGGCGCGTGCGGCGACCGCGAGCTGCTGGGCGGGGGCGGGGCGGGCGGGGCGAGCGGGGGCGGCGCGGCGGGGCTGTGGGCGCGGGGCGGGCGGCGCGCGGCGCTGGCGGCGGCGTGCGTGTGCGCGTGCGCGCTGCTGGCGGCGCTGGCCGCGCGCTGCCCGCGCGCCGCCGCGCTGCACCCCGCCGCGCTGCTGCGCCTGCTCACCGCCGTCTAGTGCACACGCACGCGCACACGCACACGCACACACGTATATACACCGACACACACACACACACACATACACACACAACGCGCGCACACGCACACGCACACACGTATATACACCGACACACACACACACACACATACACACACAACGCGCGCACACGCACACGCACACACGTATATACACCAAAACACACACACACACACATACACACACAACGCGCGCGCGCGCGTGCACGCATGCACACACACATAAAACCTGATGGTTTCATCGCTTCATAGATACACGTATTCACGTAAAATATACGGTCATGTTCACTACACAGCCAACCCCGATTTATTTTTACTATTTCAACTCATTACAAACAACAGTAATATAAAGTACATGTACATGTATTTCATAATTTTTATTTAAATAACTTGTATGGTAAACACCGAAAAGTTGTATTTTTTGTTTGTCAGGTTTTGAAAACACATCAATAACACTCTATTTGAGTACAATGCTTATAAAAATTATTTTTTTATTCCAAGAAGCTAAAAAAGAAACTATTGATTCATCATGTACAGTATTGAATAACTTATTATGTTTAGTAACAAAAAGTAATTTTATTTCACAAAAAAACAATTCTCAAGTGAAATTTTTCAAAAATTATAAATCCGGCTCGAAAGACCATTTTTCAACATTTCTTTGTTTTTTATATCTCTGATTATATTACGCGTAATTAAAAATCTATTGCATTTAATAATTATAAAAATAAAAGAAATAAACAAAAATAATATTGAAATAAAGGACAGCACGCAACAGTGCTCATTTACTATTTTGTCTAGTCATAGTTAAGTGTATCTTCAAAATACAAAGACGACATTTTATCGTTCATTCTGAATAATATACTATAAACATAGTAACTCTTTAAATATGCATGAATACAAATGTCTAACAATTTTTAACATACGACAACACATTAATTAAGATCTGAACTTCAGTTGAGTTCCAGACGATCTGATTAGTGGTATAAGGTAAAGTGCGGTGACGTAGCCGTTGTCCTATGGGTTCGTTATCCGTTCGGTAGTTAGTGGTTGGTGCAAACATGATACGTATTCAAAGTACGCATGCATGTCTTTGCCGACCATTATAAGCTCTTAGATTATACATTTTCTTACATTACATTTAAAATATTAGTTTATTACAAATTCATTAGACTTACATGACTGTATTAAACTTAAGATGGTATTAATGTAGTTAAGCACATGAAATGACAATGTTAACAAAAATAGATATTTTGTGTATCTACCGTACCGTACCGTAATTAGTTAAACTTGTGTTAAAGATATACTTAATGTCACTATTTATTAAATATATGGCAATGTTCAATGTCTTAGGTTACTTAAACTATAATAATATATTATAATAAATAAATTAATTTAAACAAAAATTTCTTTTATTCGTAAGGTATCCTGACTAATACCTACCTCAGATATATTCTTTTTTATCTGGTTATATTAGTTGAAATTATAAGAAAAGAAGCGTTGATTTTCAGGCATTCATTAATTATTTAAATTTGAGAAATTAATATTTCCGAAACTAAAAACTACATTATGAAAAAAAATCGGTTATTCCGTTTATCCACCCTCAGACAGGCCACCCTAGGCTGGATTCTCGGAAACGGGTGTTCATTTATTCACCCCAGACGGGGTTGGTAATTCTTATATTATTTTTCTTCCGATTTTCTTCCTCGTCTGTGTACAGTCATTTACAGAAACTGTGAAACACAGAAAGGATAAAAACTAGCCCAAGTAGTAGAACATTAGCATATCTCTATAAAAATATACATGTACAAACTTCTTGTTTGAAAGATTGAAGCTGAAATAAAAGGAATGCCTCACAGGACTACAACTTCATTGGAATTTTGGCATAAAATTTAGTAAAGATTTGGAATGCTTGCAAAAAAAAAAGTTTTTCGATAACACATCTGTTGTGGCGAAGAAATTTAGAAAAAGATTTTTTATTTATAGAAGAAGGGGCAAACGAACATTCGGATCACGTGATGGTAAGTGCAACAATCGCAACACTACGGGAATTGCAGATGCGTTGCCGGTCTTTTAGAAAGGTGTAAGCTCTTTTCTTGAAGGTCCCTAAGTCGTATCGGTCCGGAAAAATCGCCGGTGGTAAACAATTCCACAGAGAAGTTGTACGAGGAAGAAAACTCCTAGTAAAACGCACAGTCGTGGACCGCCAAGCATCCAGAAGGTGAGGATGGTATTGTGAATTTTGACGCGATGTCCGTTCGTGAAATTTGGCGGCTGGAATTAATCCGAACAATTCCTCAGAGCACTCCCCGTGGTAAATTCGATAGAAAATGCAAAGGGATGGAACATTCCTACGCAGTGCCAGTGTATCGAGCCGATCAGAAAGAACTCTGTCGTCGACGATTCGAACCGCTCTGCGCTGGATGCGGTCAAGTGGAAGGAGCTGGCACTGGGGTGCCCCGGCCCAGAGATGAGAACAGTATTCCATATGAGCATATGACAAGCTGCAGATCGCAACTGCGATGGGAGCGTGAGTGGCACCGTACTCCGGATCAGACAGTGGTCAGAAGAGCCCAGAGGGACATCGACGGAGACCTGATAACCGTACAGACGATAGGTCAACAGCAGGATTGCAAATGTACGTTAAAAGAGACGAATTAATCCAGAATATAAAGTTTAAAGATTTGCTGAAAACGTGTGTAGCTTCCCCCGTGGCTGTTCAACCTATTTATGGACAGTTGTTTGGAAAGTTTGAAAGTTGAAGAATGTGGGTTGAGAATGGGTGAGTTAACCGTCAAATGCCTTTTGTACGTCGATGGTCAAGTCATATTTGCGTCGTCGGCGACCGAGTTGCAAATGATGGTTACATTAATGAACAGGTCATTAAAATAAAGGGGATTAAAAGTGAACGCAGGTAAGACGAAAGTTATGGTTTTTGAAAGACAAGAAAGTAAAACGCTATGTCAAATAAGAATAGAAGGGGAGTTGGTTGAGCAAGTGGATGAGCTTATGTATTTGGGATGTATTTTTAGTAGGGATGGTAGATATGACAAGGATATAGAACGACGAGTGAATGTAGGCAATAGAGTAGGTAAATGGGGCTCTACACTCTATCGTAGGAAGTCAGAATGTGTCAAAAAAGGCACGTATGGAAATTCACAATGCTGTGACAGTCACTACCTTAATGTATGGTAGTGAAAGTTGGGTGTGGCAGAAGAAGAACGAGAGTACAATAAATGCTGTAGAAATGCGGTCGTTAAGGAGTATGTCAGAGCTGAATATGAATGACAGGGTGATAAATTGTGTGATAAGAGAAAATTTTGGTTTTCAAAAAGATGTTGTAAGCAGGATTCAGAATGAAAACCTCGGTGTTTGATCACGTAAAAATAATGAATAAAGAAAGAGTGACAAAGTAAAATGTTGTAGAAACGAATGGTAGATTCGGCAAGGGACGGCCGAGACAGAGGTTTACCGACCCTTTTGGCGATATATTAAAGATGGGCTAAATTAAGATTATACTTTATCTATGAGCATATAGGCGTGTGTATATGGACGTGAAGGAGGCGAGTGGAGGCCAGGAGTGTCAGGATCGTGCCAAAAGTCCGTAGTCCTTGCCTCCTCTTTGCGTGACAGGCGAATGTCTTATGTATTTATGTTTTCTGTAATACAGGGCAATCAACTAAAACTAAATACACTAAGGCCACAAACTAGTCGTTAATTCTGTGAGCTCTATTTTTGCAATAAATGTTAGTTAAATGTTTGAACACAAGTCTCGCAGGTCCATTTGTACAACATAATTTATTCCAATGTTTTGAAAATGTGTGTCCAAACTTTGCCTATGTGTTTGGCGGCAATGTAACTTTGTTTTGTTAAATTCGAATAAAGTTAACACTTTACTTGTTTATTAGAGTTTTATGTTTTTAATACCTTTCAAACTCGCGAAAAAAGCTTATAAAAATGCTTATATTCCACATAATAATATTTTTTTTAAACATGATGGAGACTTGATTGTAGCATTTTGTGCTACAATACAGTCTCCATTACCTTCCATAAAATACACAAATTCATGAAATAAACTAATACAATATAAAAAATAAAACTCAGTTTACAACGAACACGTTTTATTAGTATTTTTTTTCAATATTTTATGAGAAAATTACTATAAATAAAATAAAATTACTAAGTACGTATATTACAATCGGAGTTTCCCGAGTCAATGCAGTTAGCGCGAGCGCTTATCGTGGTAGGACCCATGCATAATTTTTTCGCACGCACTGAGATTGCTCTCAAGCGTAAACACTAACAAACAGTCGTGTATGCCGACCCAGTGAATTTCATCCAGAAGTATGTACTCATATTATGTACTAATTGATTTTGTTCATGTTAGATATAGGGACGGACAAGTGATACGATCGCTGGCTAGATTAATGTTTAATGTTCACACAGTAATTAGCGGTGGGCGCAGTCACGCACGCATACCCAACATTACCTCCCCTAGTACAACAACAATACATTATTTAAAAAAAAATGTTACGTTGCTTCTTCCTCACTTAACTCGTTGGAACCAGGCTCTGTTACCTCCTCATCAGACTGTTGAACGTCGTTCTTACTCTCGTCCTCCCTTTTCAAAACAAAGTCATTAGGTTCGTACATCTCTGCTCTTGTAGCCGAACTTCGCGACACGATATACGGAGGAGTTTTTGGTACCGCTGGCGATTGTCTGATGGGTGAAGATGTAAGTGGCGGTAGTGAAATGTCCAACGATAACGGCAGTAGCGGTGACGACGGAAGTGGCGAGGTTGGCGGTATGGTATCCGCTGCACTTGGAGGACATGCCCCACAAGAATCTTGGTTTAAGGGTTGTTTAATGCCCCCACCATTATGCCCTTTATAAAGCATTAACTGATTTATGTGTCTTTTAATTATTTCTAAATTATTACAAGCTTTTACTAAATATTATTTATATTCCAATTCTTTTCTGTA